TTACTGCCTGAACAGGTAGCCTTCCCCTGATAGGTGAACAGAGGCATGGGAGTCCCTTGCCTTACAAGTATTACACAACAGTGAATTATTGCAGCTGTCTGTGCTGCTGTACACTGTGACTGGTAACCACAGGCAACTTGAGTCATAGGACAAGCATAATCTACAGGGGACCTTATCTAATCTGGAATACTCATGGCAAGACAAACACTATGGACCTAAATTATAAGGGATTCATTCCATACTAAAATCACCATAGAAAGACAAGCATAGGCTACTGGGACCTATTCTACCCTGGAGTCCCATAGAAAGACAAGCATAGGCTACTGGGACCTATTCTACCCTGGAGTCCCATAGAAAGACAAGCATAGGCTACTGGGACCTATTCTACCCTGGAATTCCCATAGAAAGACAAGCATAGGCTACTGGGACCTATTCTACCCTGGAGTCCCATAGAAAGACAAGCATAGGCTACTGGGACCTATTCTACCCTGGAATTCCATAGAAAGACATGCATAGGCTACTGGGACCTACCCTGGAGTCCCATAGAAGACAAGCATAGGCTACTGGGACCTATTCTACCCTGGAATTCCCATAGAAAGACAAGCAAAGCTTCAAGCTACTGGGACCTATTCTACCCTGGAATTCCCATAGAAAGACAAGCGTAGGCTACTGGGACCTATTCTATCCTGGAATTCCCATAGAAATTAATGACTAAAGACGGAGGTGATTAGACAATAATTTTCTGTCCTAACAATTTGCTCAACTGTAAGAAGTCAGTCTTAAAGTGTTACAGAAACACTGGACAAGAAGGGTGTGCTTTGGGTGCTCTTTGGGACCCTTATTTGGCTTTTCATTTGCAACGTGCTTTCACACCACTACAACATGCATGTTTTACCCAGAATGTAACAATTTCACACAACTTCAACATGCAATATGTATGCTTCATCCAGTATATAAGCATGTGTAACCCAGTATACAAGCATGTGTAACCCAGCATATAAGCATGTGTAACCCAGTATATAAGTATGTGTAACCCAGTATATAAGCATGTGTAACCCAGTATATAAGCATGTGTAACCCAGCATATAAGCATGTGTAACCCAGTATATAAGTATGTATAACCCAGTATATAAGCATGTGTAACCCAGTATATAAGCATGTGTAACCCAGTATATAAGTATGTATAACCCAGTATATAAGCATGTATAACCCAGTATATAAGCATGTGTAACCCAGTATATAAGCATGTGTAACCCAGTATATAAGCATGTGTAACCCAGTATATAAGCATGTGTAACCCAGCATGTATATAAGCATGTGTAACCCAGTATATAAGCATGTGTAACCCAGTATATAAGCATGTAACCCAGTATATAAGCATGTGTAACCCAGTATATAAGCATGTGTAACCCAGTATATAAGCATGTGTAACCCAGTATATAAGCATGTGTAACCCAGTATATAAGCATGTGTAACCCAGTATATAAGCATATAACCCAGTATATATGTAACCCAGTATATAAGCATGTGTAACCCAGTATATAAGCATGTGTAACCCAGTATATAAGCATGTGTAACCCAGTATATAAGCATGTATAACCTAACCCAGTATATAAGCATGTGTAACCCAGTATATAAGCATGTGTAACCCAGTATATAAGCATGTGTAACCCAGTATATAAGCATGTGTAACCCAGTATATAAGCATGTGTAACCCAGTATATAAGCATGTGTAACCCAGTATATAAGCATGTGTAACCCAGTATATAAGCATGTGTAACCCAGTATATAAGCATGTGTAACCCAGTATATAAGCATGTGTAACCCAGTATATAAGCATGTGTAACCCAGTATATAAGCATGTGTAACCCAGTATATAAGCATGTGTAACCCAGTATATAAGCATGTGTAACCCAGTATATAAGCATGTGTAACCCAGTATATAAGCATGTGTAACCCAGTATATAAGCATGTGTAACCCAGTATATAAGCATGTGTGCATATATAAGCATGTGTAACCCAGTATATAAGCATGTGTAACCCAGTAACATAAGTAAGCATGTGTAACCCAGTATATAAGCATGTGTAACCCAGTATATAAGCATGTGTAACCCAGTATATAAGCATGTGTAACCAGTATATAAGCATGTGTAACCCAGTATATAAGCATGTGTAACCCAGTATATAAGCATGTGTAACCCAGTATATAAGCATGTGTAACCCAGTATATAAGCATGTGTAACCCAGTATATAAGCATGTGTAACCCAGTATATAAGCATGTGTGTAACCCAGTATATAAGCATGTGTAACCCAGTATATAAGCATGTGTAACCCAGTATATAAGCATGTGTAACCCAGTATATAAGCATGTGTAACCCAGTATATAAGCATGTGTAACCCAGTATATAAGCATGTAACCCAGTATATAAGCATGTGTAACCCAGTATATAAGCATGTGTAACCCAGTATATAAGCATGTGTAACCCAGTATATAATGCAGCATATATGTGTGTAACCCAGTATATAAGCATGTATAACCCAGTATATAAGCATGTGTAACCCAGTATATAAGCATGTGTAACCCAGTATATAAGCATGTGTAACCCAGTATATAAGCATGTGTAACCCAGTATATAAGCATGTGTAACCCAGTATATAAGCATGTAACCCAGTATATAAGCATGTGTAACCCAGTATATAAGCATGTGTAACCCAGTATATAAGCATGTGTAACCCAGTATATAAGCATGTGTAACCCAGTATATAAGCATGTGTAACCCAGTATATAAGCATGTGTAACCCAGTATATAAGCATGTGTAACCCAGTATATAAGCATGTGTAACCCAGTATATAAGCATGTGTAACCCAGTATATAAGCATGTGTAACCCAGTATATAAGCATGTGTAACCCAGTATATAAGCATGTGTAACCCAGTATATAAGCATGTAACCCAGTATATAAGCATAAGCATGTGTAACCCAGTATATAAGCATGTGTAACCCAGTATATAAGTATATAAGCATGTAACCCAGTATATAAGCATGTGTAACCCAGTATATAAGCAGTATATAAGCATGTGTAACCCAGTATATAAGCATGTGTAACCCAGTATATAAGCATGTGTAACCCAGTATATAAGCATGTAACCCAGTATATAAGCATGTATAACCCAGTATATAAGCATGTGTAACCCAGTATATAAGCATGTCACCCAGTATATAAGCATGTATAACCCAGTATATAAGCATGTATAACCCAGTATATAAGCATGTGTAACCCAGTATATAAGCATGTGTAACCCAGTATATAAGCATGTATAACCCAGTATATAAGCATGTGTAACCCAGTATATAAGCATGTATAACCCAGTATATAAGCATGTGTAACCCAGTATATAAGCATGTGTAACCCAGTATATGAGCATGTGTAACCCAGTATATAAGCATGTGTAACCCAGTATATAAGCATGTGTAACCCAGTATATAAGTATGTGTTACCCAGTATATAAGCATGTATAACCCAGTATATAAGCATGTGTCACCCAGTATATAAGCATGTATAACCCAGTATATAAGTATGTGTTACCCAGTATATAAGAATGTGCAACCCAGTATATAAGCATGTGTCAACCATTATATAAGTATGTGTTACCCAGTATATAAGCATGTATAACCCAGTATATAAGCATGTGTAACCCAGTATATAAGCATGTGTAACCCAGTATATAAGCATGTATAAGCCAGTATATAAGCATGTGTCACCCAGTATATAAGCATGTGTAACCCAGTATATAAGCATGTGTCACCCATTATATAAGTATGTGTTACCCAGTATATAAGCATGTATAACCCAGTATATAAGCATGTGTAACCCAGTATATAAGCATGTGTAACCCAGTATATAAGCATGTGTAACCCAGTATATAAGCATGTGTAACCCAGTATATAAGCATGTGTAACCCAGTATATAAGCATGTGTAACCCAGTATATGAGCATGTAACCCAGCATATAAGCATGTGTAACCCAGTATATAAGCATGTGTAACCCAGTATATAAGCATGTATATCCCAGTATATAAGCATGTATAACCCGGTATATAAGCATGTGTAACCCAGTATATAAGCATGTATAACCCAGTATATAAGCATGTATAACCCGGTATATAAGCATGTGTAACCCAGTATATAAGCATGTATAACCCAGTATATAAGCATGTATAACCCGGTATATAAGCATGTGTAACCCAGTATATAAGCATGTATATCCCAGTATATATGCATGTATAACCCAGTATATAAGCATGTGTAACCCAGTATATAAGCATGTGTAACCCAGTATATAAGCATGTATAACCCAGTATATAAGCATGTGTAACCCAGTATATAAGCATGTGTAACCCAGTATATAAGCATGTATAACCCAGTATATAAGCATGTATAACCCAGTATATAAGCATGTGTAACCCAGTATATAAGCATGTCACCCAGTATATAAGCATGTGTAACCCAGTATATAAGCATGTGTAACCCAGTATATGAGCATGTATAACCCAGTATATAAGCACGCGGTAACCCAGTATATAAGCATGTGTAACCCAGTATATAAGCATGTGTAACCCAGTATATAAGCATGTGTAACCCAGTATATAAGCACGTGTAACCCAGTATATAAGCACGTGTAACCCAGTATATAAGCATGTGTAACCCAGTATATAAGCACGTGTAACCCAGTATATAAGCATGTATAACCCAGTATATAAGCATGTAACCCAGTATATAAGCACGTGTAACCCAGTATATAAGCATGTGTAACCCAGTATATAAGCATGTGTAACCCAGTATATAAGCACGTGTAACCCAGTATATAAGCACGTGTAACCCAGTATATAAGCACGTGTAACCCAGTATATAAGCAGGTGTAACCCAGTATATAAGCACGTGTAACCCAGTATATAAGCATGTAGAACCCATGTAACTGCAGTATGCACCATCACCTACCTGAACTACGGCTGGTGGATTCTCCCTGTGTACATGAAGAGAAATTTACGTGTTTCCAGTCACAGAGCGGGTTAGATGTGACGACTTCGTGATTGCAACTTCACCTGTTGATGACAAAAACATATCTGTGGTCAAACCATACAAAAGCTGGCTCCTATGTCTCTAAGTGGAGCCCATTTGCTGTAGTTCCCATATACAACTGACGATAGTCTTATCTTACGCAGGTTGTGCAAATAGTAGACAAACAAAATCGTAGGAGGAAATATTCAGCTACCCTTGACCTCTAACCTCTGACATCAGCGGCATGTTTGAGGGTCAAAATATTTATTTAAACCAGTCGGTGGCAGCCGCCAAGGCTTCGCAACAAAATATGAAAACAAATTTTTATTGTTCTTTGGATTTATCAACAGGTTTCTCCCAACAAGTGAGCAGAGCTGTGGCACACACAAGAGCTGCAGCCAACTCAATGAGCAGTGATTTGCAGTTTCTAACTCTTTTGTTTTCGACAACAAAAAAAAGAAGGCTATTTCAGCAACCTGACACTCCTAGTTCTATTGTACTTCAAGGTAACACAAGGAATGTACTTATATTGGACTTTTTAAACAACTGTTTCTCAAAAACACATGAGTGTACCCATCAGCTTAAAAAGTCACTCAAATCATGCTGACCCATTATTCCTGTTCAAAAAGGAAACATGATAATTGTATTTATTATTTTGTGATAAATACAAGTGAAAACAACTCTAATACATGGGTTTGTTGTGAAACATATGCACCAGCACTGGAAGGGAAACGAGAGGATACACATTTAAACAAATATTTTTTCAAACAGAAAATCTGTGCCCGAAAATATACAAATAATGACATAACTTGCACACCAATAACAATGTAAGAAAATGCCTGACTGTGTTCCCAGCAGCTCCTGCAGACGAGATTTGTGTGTAAATGTCACTTCCGCCAAGCACCAACCATGTGGTCCATCAATACACCGGGGAAGTACATGCCTCACATATTGACATATTACATCATTCACGGTGATATTTAACTGATGACACACTGATACACGATCAGTGCCAGAATAACGCAAGTTATGCCAGATCTTCACGATTGTAAGGGTATTCCAGTCAGTTTCAGTGACGGAAACTGCTCAGTGCTATAAACAAAACCTATTAACAACAACTAAACAAACCCAACCCTGCTCTTCCTGATGCATATTCATGTAATAAACCCCACCCACCACCATAGTACCACAAACTAGGGGTGTAAACTGGGGACCTACAAGTCTCATGCAGTATTTCCTGACTCTATTCACCACTAATTCTTTCATGTTGTAACATTAGGGTTATGACACCTTGAGACGTTCATTCTTAGTTCCAACACAGCAAATATTTTGATTTCTGTGAACCTTGATCGTCATCTTGATGCCTCCAACTTGCATACCCACAGCTCAGCATTATTGTTGCATTCTCACAGTGAGTGAGTTTAGTTTTACGCCGCACTCAGCAATATTCCAGCTATATGGTGGCGGTCTGTAAATAATTGAGTCTGGACCAGACAATCCTGTGATGAACAGCATGAGCATCGATCTGCGCAATGGGGAACTGATGACATGTGTCAACCAAGTCAGCAAGCCTGACCACCTGATCCCATTAATCACCTCTTACAACAAGCATGGGTTACTGAAGATCAATATTCTAACCCGCACCTTCACAGGTCGCATTCTCACAGCATGGCTGGACTGGCAAATGGTCACTCAATACTCAATCATTTTATGTTGACACAAAGTTTGGGGTGGCACAATTTGAAAATTATTAACACTAAATTCATTAAATTTTTACAAAAGAATGGATGGAGTAATTGATACCCTAAAAAGAATGTTGTTGCTATGCCATGTGCATCTACACCAACATGTGGACTATATAGCACTGGATTAGGTGGAACAACCACAGATTACACCAGGCACTGTTACATTAGGCTGCAAACTTACAGTAATGCTGAAGATACAAACTGGGTATCAGTTGCCAGCAATATGGATTTGGAATAGGAATTGGATGACACAAGAAGTAAGTTTTCATGTCAGTATTTATTCAGAGACTGCTGGACAATTATGTACGAGGGAGACATCAAGGACTGGTAGCAGTTCTAAAAACACTTACTGAAACATCAAGACCTTTATGAAAATGTTTGGCAAAGTTTAGAACAGGTGAAAATGATCTTCAGGCATAGGAGAAATGGCACTCACTGACATTTTGCAGGTGTGTTGTACTTTCATCGTACTATAGGCCTCATTTCCTCCTATGTGAATTTAGCCTGTCTGTGTACTTGTGTGTGTGATTTCAGTTATCACTGACAGCTTCAAATAACACAATGTATCACCAAGCCAAGAACACACATGACCAACAGTGTACAGGAATTGACCACTTGTAGAAGTCGGGCAGCTTGGGATGATCAGCTGTTTATATCCCAGTCAGGACATATTAATACCTCCATGACACTGGCAACTTTCCAAATAAGGAAGCATTGTCCATGAAGCACTAGAAGCAGCCCTCATGCCATCTAATTCTGACTAAGTATCCAGGTGTTGATCATCTATCATTTCTGATGACATAGGAAAGATATATTTTTCGAAAAAATAATGTATTTTTGTATGCAAAGATGAACCACTGTAAATTCATCAATGTCTAAACAGCTTACACTGAATCAGCAATACATCAGCTAGATATGATGGATGACGACTTTCATCAAGCAGCTATTTAATGTTTGTGACAGATGTCTAGTGAACTGCCAACGTGATGTATCTATTGTAGTGAAATGAAGTCCAGTCCAGGAGATTGCCTATAGAGTCTAAGCAGCATGTTACACATGTTCCAACATTATACATGTATATCCACAAAATCCATAAAAACATACCCGGGGAATGGTTTGTGACCTCATTTTCAACTACTCACAGGTCATTCACAGATTATCAATCACACATATTTAGTTAGATTTTCCATACATACATGCTGAATTAAGGTTGCCTCTGTATGAAGATTTGAATACTTGAAAATACTTCAGGAATGCATACACCTTACTACCTTACTGACTGTGTAGTGTTGAAAATATTATTATGATGTCAACTTTGACAAACAAATGATTCATCCATACCAAAAAATATGTTTCTCCACAATGGAACAGGGATTTAAGTAAAAGATAAAACCATATAATTCTCAACGAAACTAAAATTGATAGCATTAGGGCACAGAGTTTTCAAAGTCCATCAGCTCACCATGCTCACAGTCCATCAACTCACCATGTTGTCACAGTCCATCAACTCACCATGTTGTCACAGTCCATCAACTCACCATGTTGTCACAGTCCATCAACTCACCATGTTGTCACAGTCCATCAACTCACCATGTTGTCACAGCCCATCAACTCACCATGCTGTCACGGTCCTTCAACTCACCATGCTGTCACAGTCCATCAACTCACCATGCTGTCACAGTCCATCAACTCACCATGCTGTCACAGTCCATCAACTCACCATGCTGTCACAGTCCATCAACTCACCATGCTGTCACGGTCCATCAACTCACCATGTTGTCACAGTCCATCAACTCACCATGCTGTCACAGTCCTTCAACTCACCATGCTGTCACAGTCCTTCAACTCACCATGTTGTCACAGTCCATCAACTCACCATGCTGTCAGTCCATCAACTCACCATGTTGTCACAGTCCATCAACTCACCATGTTGTCACAGTCCATCAACTCACCATGTTGTCACAGTCCATCAACTCACCATGTTGTCACAGTCCATCAACTCACCATGTTGTCACAGTCCATCAGCTCAGTCACTGTCTTTCTTTTCAAATACCAGTGCTTTACATAAACACACACCTGCAGTTAGTTTGAGGGAGGAAACCATAAAGCACTACCCTGACAGCACATGACACATCACCATTGTTGTGGTAAACTTAAGGAAGTGATCAGGTTTCCCTAAAGGATTAGTTTCCCAAGCATGACTGTTTCCCACTTCAAACATATAACCAACTGTTGAAACATACACTACAAACACGACAAACCACTGGAAAATATGAAAACTGAATGAAAACAGAGTTAATCTTATTCCTCTTTGTGTCACATAGTGACATGGTGGTGAAAACAGGAGGCACCAAATCCCCGAAGGAACCTTCACCTGGAAGTGCCATGGCCGGTCCATGTGTTATATAACCTACTGCTATGTGTGAAGATGTTTGGCTGGTTTAATGCTCCATTGAGCCCATTGTTGCCGAGTCAATTGCTTGTGAGTATGACACCAGGACCCTCCACATCCAGCTCAGTATCAGTCAGTATGACATGCTGGATGAAATGGATGACTCCATAAATACCAGCTGGTCCCCCAGCCTGATACACTGCCAACATCTGGCTCCAACATCAATCTGTTGGATACATGTTTCACAAACAGGTTTAATGACAGACAGAAAACAGCGCCATTCTCTATGCTGCGACTGTAGTGATGAATACAGCAGCTACAGAAAAGCACAGAACACTCATTACTTTCATATTGCCTTAGTGAGCCTACCATTGCATTTCGACCTAAATGTACCAATATGTAAATCCGGGTGGAAAGATGTCACCCATTTAGATCTTGATCCAGCACTTGCAGTCCGAATCACAAGTAGATTGCTGATAAGACTACAGTGTAACAGTTCATACAGCTATGTTTAGGGGACAACATGGCACACTATTTAAGGAAAAATGGTATATTTATTGCTGTTTCACAGAAGGTCCACAGTATATCATAGATGAGGTTTGGGAAACAATGATAAACAAGTAATATATCACAGGGCAGCAATGATATACAAAGCAATATATCACAGTGCAGCAATGACATACAAAGCAATATATCACAGGGCAGTTGTGAGCTGTGAACCCATTATAAGCAAGTGGTTCAGGACAGCATGAGCACAACATGGTTGGCCCACTGGAATCAGAACTAACCTGATTACAGGTAGTCTCACTGCTGCCAGATGAACACAGAGACCAAAAGTACTGTCAGTGTTGTATAATGACTTACCATATCAATATCTACATATTGTTAGTTATCTAAGACAAGCATAGGGATGTCAATCACTGGACTATCTGGTCTCAGACCATCATCATACAGATCATATTGCTGAATGCAGCATTAAACAAACAAACAAACAAACAATAGTTGGAATTCTGTATGGACTCAAGCACAGATTTCTTATGGAAGTGGAAAGAGTTTTGTCACTTTTGTTTACTACGTCTATTTTTTCTGTAGGCTTTGTTCAGTTTGTGTTCGTAGAAAATTTAAGCATTTGGAATTCATTCAGAACTAGTGGCTCTGAAACACTATTGGTCAATGGGGACCGTCATTAGATTCTAACTGTTGTCAGCACGATTTTGTTGTCTCTGGCTAGCAGACTAGAGCTATTTTGAAGGCTGAAGACAGGCATGAGCCATGATAGTGGGAACTACACGTGACTCAGCTTTCCTCCTTCAAGGCCACAAAACAGAGGAAACAAAGGCAAATGTAGCAAAATGAAAAACAATCTTACAAGAAAGTTTCATGTCCTGCATGTTTAACCCGTTGTACAACACATGAAAGCCACATATTCCTCTGATGTAGTAGCTACTTGGAGTGACACCAGGTGTGTGGGAACACCTTCAGAGCTGGTATGTCAGGGACAGTGTGGCCTGGGTCCGCTAACGAGTCCACTACACGACAGCTGCCACCTAATTTCACACCTCACACTCCCTACATCATCAGAGCATTAAAACCAAAAGCAGAAGAGTGGATGAGGTGATGGTTGTTCTGCAGCACTCAACACACCCTACTATATGGCAACAGGCTGTAAAGAGACAAACCAGACCAGATAATCCAGTGATTACTCTGGAAAGCTCTGCTAATAACAGTGACAAAATGATGAGCAATGAAAATGAACAGCCATGCTAAGGAAAGTAGACATTTTGGGGGCAAACTGTATATAAGGACTGAAATCTTCTATTTAAAAAACACCTGTCGAAACAGGAGGCATTCATTTACTAAAGTTTACCAGAACAAATAAATACTACTCCACTATTTTACAGAGACTTTTAACATCTTTCCTGTTTTCCTGAAAATCATTAAGCTATTATAAAAACACCATGGCATCTTACAAGAATATCAAGTGGTTGGACAAAACAAAACTGCTGTCTGTACACTGTGACCCTACAAACCTGCGGTCTTGACACTGAGCCAAGCAAGAAGCTGTCTGGACACACCGACCCTAAAATCTGCTGTCTGGACACACATTGACCCCAGCAACATCCAGCTTTGACACCGCAGCGCAGTAATCTGCTGTCTTGGCACAGAAACCCTTTGGCAACAAGCTGTCTGGGTCGACACTGAGACCCTACAACATGCTGCCTGGTCACAGCAACCGTAAAAAACAGATGTCTGGACACAGTGACCCCAGGAACATTCTGTCAGGAAAACAGTGACTCCAGCAACATTCTGTTAAAAAAAACAGTGAACCCAGCAAGATGCTGTCTAAAAAACAGTAACCCCAGCAACATGCTGTCTAAAACCCAGTGACCCCAGCAACATTCTGTCTAAAAAACAATGACCCCAGCAACATTGTCTAAAAAACAGTGACCCCAGCAACATTCTGTCTGATAAACAGTAACCCCAGCAACATTCTGTCTAAAATAACAGCAACCCCAGCAACATTGTCTAAAAAACAATGACCCCAGCAACATTGTCTAAAAAAGTGACCCCAGCAACATTCTGTCTAAAATAACTGTGACCCCAGCAACATTCTGTCTAAGAAACAGTGACCCCAGCAACATTCTGTCTAAAATAACAGTGACCCCAGCAACATTCTGTCTGAAAAACAGTGACCCCAGCAACATTCTGTCTGAAAAACAGTGACCCCAGCAACATTCTGTCTAAAATAACAGTGACCCCAGCAACATTCTGTCTAAGAAACAGTGACCCCAGCAACATTCTGTTTAAAATAACAGTGACCCCAGCAACATTCTGTCTAAAAAAACAGTGACCCCAGCAACATATACTACAAGAAATTGAGTAATGGAGAACTATCCTTCTCCGTTCCTTCTGACCGATCATGGAGCATACATGATTTGGCTTCTGTATATAAGGTCAGCGTCTGCCAGTGGATTGTGTGGATCAAGGGTTTCCTAGGAGAGTAGAAGGGTAGCATAAGAACCCCATTTGTATCATAGTAAAAGACGATAAAAGATATAACTGGTGGTTGACCATGAAGGGGATTACGTTAAAAAGGTCTGGTTGGATCAGAATCAGATTACTAGGAAAGTGCGCGCACGAACTCACGCATGAACGAACGCACGCAAGAACGCTTGCATGCACACGCTACATGTGTGCACAAATGTACACACACACATAAACAACTAAAAGTTATATAGAAACCTTTACTTGGTGAATACGTTTCAGGACAAAAACAACTATTTTGTGTACTAAATGTGAAATTTGCAATATGCCATCATAACAAATAATGACTTACCATTTCAGTTGCATTTTCTGCTTTACTGGGCATTGTTTTATATTTCCCTAAATAAAGCATAAGTTTATAAAAAGTACAACAGACAGATAGCATACACAAAGTATATCATTGATTGAAGAAACATATACCAGTGGCATATACCTGCATATAGCTGAAAGGAGCTGCAGAAACATACCCACACCCTGCCCATGTGTTCATCCATGTTAAGTCACTCCAACCAAGCATGTCGACAGACTTTTACACAAACACAAAGCCACATGCATGCAAAACTACACCTTACACCTGGGAGTTGTTCGTACCCCCACCAGTGTTTGGACTGCCTGTTCCAACAACTGCATTGTCCTCAAAGTCAATACGTATTCCTGTAGTACTGCCCACTCTCGCTGATGTATTCTAACATCATACACAGGTAATACATTATAGCCGGGCAGGTAGCACATTATAACAAGCCCGTGATCTTGCATAATCAATCTATTTTCAGTTACTGGCTTCACACCAGGATAAAAAAGGTCAAATCACAAGGCTACTTTATACGCCAAGGAAATATGAAGGTCTAAAGTAATCCTTGGACCAGGTAAATCCATCAATAGTGCATAGATGTACATGAAGGAACATTCTGTTCAGAAATATACAATTAAATATTGATAAAATAACATGTTATGATAAACCTGTTTTGTGTGTGCCGGTATATTCTTTTATTTCAACATTTATGCATTTCATAGGTTATAACAAACCACTAAAATAGATTATAATTGTAAATATGGTAAAAATGCTATCACTGGCCATCTTGGCCCTCCACTTACAACCGGAAGCATCAATGTGACCAACCAATACCCATCTCAGGCCACTGACAACTGGAAGCATCAAAGTGACAACCCAATACCTATCTTAGCCACTGACAACTGGAAGCATCAATGTGACAACCCAATACCCATCTCAGCCAATGACAACTGGAAGCAACAATGTGACCATCCAATACCCATCTCAGCCCCTGACAACTGGAAGCATCAATGTGACAACCCAATACCCATCTCAGCCCCTGACAACTGGAAGCATCAATGTGACCATCCAATACCCATCTCAGCCCCTACAACTGGAAGCATCAATGTGACAACCCAATACCCAACTCAGGCCCTGACAACTGGAAGCATCAATGTGACAACCCAATACCCATCTCAGCCCCTGACAACTGGAAGCATCAATGTGACAACCCAATACCCATCTCAGCCCCTGACAACTGGAAGCATCAATGTGACCATCCAATACCCATCTCAGCCCCTACAACTGGAAGCATCAATGTGACAACCCAATACCCAACTCAGGCCCTGACAACTGGAAGCATCAATGTGACAACCCAATACCTATCTCAGCCACTGACAACTGGAAGCATCAAAGTGACAACCCAATACCCATCTCAGCCACTGACAACTGGAAGCTTCAATGTGACCATCCAATACCCATCTCAGCCCCTGACAACTGGAAGCATCAAAGTGACAACCCAATACCCATCTCAGCCCCTGACAACTGGAAGCATCAATGTGACAACCCAATACCCATCTCAGCCACTGACAACTGGAAGCATCAAAGTGACAACCAAATACCCATCTCAGCCACTTACAACTGGAAGCATCAAAGTGACAACCCAATACCTATCTCAGCCACTGACAACTGGAAGCATCAATGTGACAACCCAATACCCATCTCAGCCACTGACAACTGGAAGCATCAAAGTGACAACCAAATACCCATCTCAGCAACTTACAACTGGAAGCATCAAAGTGACAACCCAATACCTATCTCAGCCACTGACAACTGGAAGCATCAATGTGACAACCCAATACCCATCTCAGCCCCTGACAACTGGAAGCATCGATGTGACCATCCAATACCCATCTCAGCCCCTGACAACTGGAAGCATCAATGTGACAACCCAATACCCATCTCAGTCACTGACAACTGGAAGCATCAAAGTGACAACCCAATACCCATCTAACCCTGACAACTGGAAGCATCAGTGTGATGATAGCCAACCCAGTGAGAATTGGGAGAACTCATGTAAAGAAAGCACTTCTGTATACCACACAAACTTTTCTATACACTACCCCTACATACAACCAATCTGGGACGCAGTAAGCACTAATCTGTAGCCATGACAACAACTTGTGTCACTTACATATCTGTTGAGACTGAGCGAGCACAGGATCAGTGGCAGGCTACCAACCCACCAGCACAGATAAGGGAAGCCATTAATCACTGGACATGCTCCACAAAAATGTCCTGTAACAGACTGGGTTGTTAGTGTGCACCTCACATGTTGATAACTATTACAATATAGCTGAAATATATCCCATACAGGAAATAGGTGTTGCTCGTTTGTTGCTTAATGTCACACTCCTGCTGTATGGTGGCGGTCTGTAAATAATCAAGTCTGGTCCCGACAATCCAGTGATCAACAGCATGAGCATCGATCTAAGTCTCTGGGATACGATGACATGTATCCACCTGCTCCTGCTTCATATGTCAAGCACGGATCTTCGTGGGTAAAGTGTTGCCCTACCACCACTATATAAGATACAGCGAGTCACGGCGATATGCTAATTATTCAAACTTTCATTGATTGCACGGTTCACCCACTTCACAAAAAAACCTAGGCCTTTGTTTATCATACCCAAGTTCTGGGTAGTTGCCATGTAACGCCTACACTTTCACCTGAAATACCTACACTTTTGTTGAGATTGCCAATGATAACAAAGTAAATGTCACATAGTGATCTCAGCTCTTGAGCACTGAACATTAAACATTTCAGATTCGCAAAGTATGTTGGACTTGAACCCGTAAAAGACAACCCTGCAAGTGTATATCAGCCTTCAAGACAAACACATGCTTGCTGGACTGAGATGAACAAAACATTCTGTTAAAGCTGTTTATCTTTTATGAAGGTATTAAGCAATTTCTTAGTTCAACATGTTGAATTTGGGCAAAATAAATAAAGCCCACTCAGTGAATATAACACCCTATGGAACAAATCGGCAAGTACACTGCCAAAATTAAGGAGATATTGATCATAAGAAACCTAAATTTCAACACTGCATACTATAAAGCTGTACATGAAGCTTTATTTCAATTGTTTGGAGAATCACAAGAGCACCTACCTGCTTGCCAGTTGACATGGTGATCTAAAGGACCACAGATGTGACTACCCTTGTTATCCCGACAAAATGACACATGGAGGGTTTTCGACCTGACCAAAGAGTGAGTGAGTGAGTAAGTTAGTTTAGTTTTACCCTGTTTTAGCAATATTTCAGCAATATCACATAGGGGACACCAGAAATGGGCTTCACACATTGTACCCAAGTGGGGAATCAAACCCAGGTTTTCAGAGTGATGAGTGAACGCTTTAACCACTAGGCTACCCCACCCCTGACCCAAGAGACCATGTACTACACACAGCCTGATGGGGTCGGAGTTATTACTGACAAGTAGACAGCAGAGAGGACATCGCACAAGTGAACCTGAAACCTCAGTCAAACAAATCCCCACTGGGATTAAACTGAAAGGCAACCTCGTCATGAATCAGCAACTATTTCAGAGATTAAAATCTACAAGATAAAATCAAACACTCACACATAGCCATATGAACTTTTGATGTGTGTGGGTTGTTTTTGCTAATATCTGATAACATTTTTTAAAGAAACAGTGTGAATACAAAAAATTATGTTCCATTTCTGTTATAATGTTTGGAATGTTAACAGCAAAAATATATAATAAGTTTGAAACACAAACCTCATATTTTAGTTGTTAAACGTGAAACTTACCTAACTAACAAAATGTTGAAATAATCATTATAATCATCAATGGAATAATCAGTTTGTTGATCCATTGAGGACACATTTCTCAACAACCAACCATGACACCACAAACAGCCTACCCTTGACTAATCTCTGTTAGACCTTCCCAGCTTGACATGGAGTGTCCTCGGAGTGTCGCAATACTGCTGACGGATGTTACTTGCTGTAGGGACAAGTACAACTGACGTACATACCTCTACTAGCCCATATTATATTTACCTGTTGTACATGTCACAACTACCGGATACACCAGGATACACTCACATGCTCATTTCATTCATTCTCTCACACAACCACCACCACCAGCTCCAGGGTGATGAAGTACAAAGTGCACCGACGTACAGTCCAACATCTCCACACAACTGTACTATCAACTATATGCATATCTTGAACAAATTACTGCTTTCTTCCTTTGTGCACATAACAATGCTGTACATTTCAGATGAAGGCCTTTTTGAACATACCTACACTGAGCTATTGCAGGGAACAGCACTCCATGTTTGCTCATTACTTCCAAGCAGTAACGACTTGAATACAACCTCCAATAGAGTACCTGCAAGCACTGCCATAAACACAATGTTACGGTGTGAATATTTTGAATTAGTTCCAATTTTCTAAATCAAGGGATCCTTTGTATAAAACAATTTCCATGACAAACTGGTGTGTTTCCTAGATAATGCTGTACAAATATTCCATAGCAGCCTGCTATGGATACTCATTCTCTCAAAGCTGTCATTTAATCAGTCAAAACAATGGAATACTATGTGGAAACAAACGTGTAATAAAGGCCTGTTTCATTGCAACCCTGACCCCCTTGATTTGTTACTATGGTTACGGTCTTTTACTCACAGATGACTACTATAAATGTGAGTAAAATATACTTTGTATTTACAGGAATGTTCAGTGTCTCCAAGGGATGTCTTAATCAGAGCTATTTGGATTAATTAGATTTCCTGAAAAATGTGACCATACACTGTATACACAGATTATAACACACAGAGTTTTGCTTAACAAAACAGTATCAACACCGCAGTTATGGTTGGTCTGTGTAAAGTGAGGTCATTACCATTTTCATTATATTAAGACTTAGGGGCGGTGGGGTAGTCTAGTGGTTAAAGCGTTGGCTCGTCATGCCGAAGACCCGGGTTCAAATCCCCACATGGGTACAATGAGTGAAGCCCATTTCTGGTGTCCCCCGCCGTGATATTGCTGGAATATTGCTAAAAGCGGCGTAAAACCAAACTCAGTCAGTATTAAGACTTTTAACTATTTTCTCACCCAAAAAAGACCGAATTTGTATTAAAGTAACATGTCCTTTGGTAAATTTGGCATTCCTGCATCATTGGGTTTACTTTCAGCTCAAACCAAGGTATGATATGCACCACCAACTGTTGACAACTAATTGGGCCAACGAACTTCCCTTTAGCCACTGACTAAGGAAGACAACCACACAGATGTTCAGCAGGTTGGTAAAAATATCCTGTCACCACCAACACAAGCTCCTCCACCAGTGTAAGGCCATCGACGCATCCGCATAGAAACTGAGAAACTCATTTAAAAAACAATTAACATTTGTTGCATTGAAAACTTGTGTTTAGGAAGTGTTAAGTTTTCAAAACTATCCGTGACCTCATAGACAACCTGTGTCAGACAGAACAACATCTACAAGTACTGGATCCAGCCTTCATCATCAGACAGCTACCAGCTGGCCTGAAAACAGAGCCAGGTCTTATTTGTACAGTGGCTTGAAGCTCTTAGGCTGTGGTCAATGTCATCAATGTCCTATTGAGAGATGTGTTCAAGGAGGAATCATTGACCTGAGTGAGTGAGGAGTATGGGTTCAAGCCACTTCTATCAATATTCAAGCAGTTACACATGGTCCTGACCTCTTTCAATACCCAGATGTTTTCGATAATTCAGTTACCATGGTTACCAGAATTATTTTAATTGTATTTGTCAGTTTCACCTGTTACAATGACTTGCACGCTGTATCATACAATGAACTATTGCCCTTCGTTGTCGTAAGCATGTATTTGGTTAACTTATCTCACTTACATTGTACCTCCTTGTTCAATAAGTATGGTAGGATACATTGTTCAATACTGCAGACCTTTTGTCATTCGGACAAGCTGGGCAACAGGTTTTAAACACTCACCAGGACACAAACAAGCACCATATCGTCAGGTTTATAGCAAGATGTAACATAGAGTGTCATAGTGGTGTAATATAGCGTCTAAACCATGTTACATTCACACTGTCACAACATTATCTCCTCTAAACAAGCATCTAACATAGCAACATATGGAACCAATTCTTGTACACTGGAGTTCTATTTGTTCATACCATGCCAACACCATGATAAGACTTCAACATCAAGCAAACTCAATGTCCGAAATTAACATAAGACTGCTAGTCCACATTGAAGACACCAATACGTTTAGTCCACTACTCCTTGTAATTGTAAAATATGGCAAACTTGTTAGACATTGCACATTTCAACTGGCCAACATAAAACTTTACCTACTGGGCAGTTTGTCAATGACATTAGACAAGCATCATTTTCTATCTCTGCCTCATACTTGTACCTTGATGTCACATCACCATACTTCGCTTAACTCTTAAAACTCTTCCACATTAAGTCTGCTAGTCCCCTCTGCCAGTCCCAGACCAGGAACAGTCAAAACTAGTGACATTACCTTGTGAACGGACACTTCTATCTTTGGTTAATGGCAACTTTGTAGCAGGACTAGAGACATTTCCTTGTGAACAGACACTTCTATCTTTAGGTAAATGGCAACTTTGTAGCAGGACTAGAGACATTTCCTTGTGAACAGACACTTCTATCTTTGGTAAATGGCAACTTTGTAGCAGGACTAGTGAAATTTCCTTGTGAACGGAGGCTTCTATCTTTAGGTAAATGGCGACTTTGTAGCAGGATTAGTGAAATTTCCTTGTGAACGGACACTTCTATCTTTAGGTAAATGGCAACTTTGTAGCAGGATTAGTGAAATTTCCTTGTGAACAGACACTTTTATCTTTAGGTAAATGGCAACTTTGTAGCAGGATTAGTGACATTTCCTTGTGAACAGACACTTCTATCTTTAGGTCAATGGCAACTTTGTAGCAGGACTAGAGGCATTTCCTTGTGAACGGACGCTTCTATCTTTAGGTCAATGGGAACTTTGTAGCAGGACTAGAGGCATTTCCTTGTGAACGGACGCTTCTATCTTTAGGTCAATGGGAACTTTGTAGCAGGACTAGAGACATATCCTTGTGAACGGACGCTTCTATCTTTAGGTCTGCAACAGGTTAACATTGCTGTGCAATGTAAATATATGATAAATTATAGCCTTCAAATTGCTGTTGGGCTAGCATTCGAATCTCTGGAACCATACCAGATGGTAAATGTTCACTCGTACAGTACATACACACATGCAGATATCTACAACCAACATACATAAGTGGCCGTCAAGATGGAGTGCAGTAGAGACCAACCTGCGTCATACCGGAGAGATATATTCTTTCCGTACTGAACTCTACCGGTACAAACAACAAACAACGTCAGTCCACAGCTTATTTAATGCCCAATAAACAACCATAAACATCACCTTATTTCCACCTCACCACTTGTGCAATGGACTATCACCTGCAGGACATCTTGGCAGAGAAGGTACAAATTTCTTCTTGTAAACACAAAACCAAATGACTGGAATAATCCAATCAATCAAACACTCAGAAGGCCATATACACCTCCCACATACAGGACACTGACAGTTGAAGGCTAAGTTCATACAGTGCAGCTACCATCCTGATATGATGACATGCCATGTAAAGTGGGATATTGTCATATGCAAAACAAATGAGATCCTTGAGTGAACAATTTGTCCTGTTTACTACTGGTACATGTTTACATGCTGAACCATGATCTACACCGGGTCGGTCCCCTAGCTCATCGTGACTGTGTACAACTGATAAGGGCTGAACACTTATCGCGAGGATGCCTCTGCTAGTGTGGTCATACCTTGTAAATCAAACACAATCATGACTCAACTTGCTTAATCCAGGATTAGGAACAGATATTTATGGTGGATATTGAAATGCATGAGGATAAATCTTACGAAGCAAAAGAAAGTTGTAGCTTGGGACTACCCCTCTAACCTGAGTTACTGACTAATATTACAGGTTTTCCAAGGGAAAGTAGAACTTAAACCATTTTAGTGGTGTACTTATTTGTTATCACTCCAGAACTGGAAAATGTTCCAGGAGTAGCTTACCAGTGGGGAACATATTATCTAAATTTAAATGAATACCAAGACTGATTATCAATGATGTCCCTCAACCTGTTTAACCTCTTCACAGTTAAAGACTCCTCTAATAACGTAGTGTATCAGTGTATGTTGAAATTAGACTATTTATACAGATAAAATATCTTCTGTTCCATGAAACGCCATCACAATTGCCATCAATGTGTACACAGCAGGTCAGGGGGCCTGTATGTATTTGCTGGTGAAGTAACACTTGAATCCCCTCAGTTGCTCATATTCAACATTAGGGTTATGACAAGGACCACTCTCAGTGTCAAGTTTGAGCAGGGAATAGTATGAAGGATCTCAATGTCCCCTTCAACTTGACCAAAGTTGTATACAGTACATGTATACGAGTGTTTGAAATGATGAGGGGAGGTGGGGACTTGGACCCTTGAAAATTGTTCTTGAAGGCTCTTGTGTTTCAATTTCAATCAACAGGTACATGTAAACTAATCTGTCTTACAGACCCTGAAGCAAATATATCCACGAAAGCCTATGCAAGTCTAGAATATGTGGCAAGTTATTTTTCTGTAAAATATGTTCATTTCAGAGACTAGTTGTTAGTCTACGTGTACCCCAACAGCCAAACGTAAACAGGAATTTATCAATAATTCTAAACTCAGTGACTTTGGAGTGTGTGAGTGAGTGACTTTGGTTTTACGCTGCTTTTAACAATATTCCAGCAATATCATGGCAGGGGACACCAAAAGTAGGCTTCACACATTGTACACATGTGGGGAATCGAACCCGGACCTTCGGCGTGACAAGCGAATGCTTTAACCACTAGGCTACCCCACCGCCCCAGTGACTTTTGAAGGCAAATGGGGAAAAAAATCATTATTTAGTTCAAAACAGAATTTTTGAAAGTTAACGCATTCTGAAACTAAAAGATATTTTAACACAGCTTGGAGTGAGTGAGTGAGTATCGTTTTACATCGCTTTTAGCAATATTCCAGCAATATCACGGCAGGGGACACCAGAAATGGAACACACAGCTTGGAAGTCTTAAAAGAAAAAACTAATTTACAAGGCATAAAACCCTGTTTACTTATCTTGATATCAGTAAAACACAAGTCCGAATCTACAAGCCATGACATGTAAGACTTGTTGATGTGAAGCGAGAAATCTACAATTCCAATATGTGAATTCCTACTGACACGAGCTGCATGGTTGTGAATATCAGCCTCTGAGCATGTCTATAAACCTGTGTTAATATTGTGCAGGTTGTATATTTCAGTGGCTGGTTAGTACAGGGCACAATTGTAAATACTTCTTGACCTCTTATACCTGTTTTCTACTGACAAGTGCATTAAAATTTGACAGAGAGCCTGTCATTTCTTACATCCAGCATGCTACTACAGCAACAAACAGATAACTATGAAAAACAACTACTTTCGAGGAGTTACCTACAAGTTTTGTCACAGGAAGCAAACTTCCCACCATAGCTGGGTTACAACCAGGAACAACGTGTCAACATTTCAGGTCACTACCCCTATGATTGTCTATGCATGGATGGTAAAGTGCACTACTATTATGGAGATTCAACTTAATTGCATACCAGAATGTACTATTGTGTGACCACATTTCTTAATACCAGTTCGACAGCAAGTAGACCATAACAAGTTAACACTTTGAATGTGGGCCAACAGAAGAGGCAGAAATAAATTTACGGTGACTTTGTTTATCACCCACTTCCTTGTTTTGATAGCCTCAAACCAGTAACATCGTCTACCAGACTCGACTGTTGTGACAGTGTTCTCAACTACACACGTAGTACTACCTGCTATAAAGCCTCTGATCTTGAACCCACATTAATGAGGGTTTAAGTGGTTGTAAACATTTTCATCCCTTATTCTTTTCTGAGGGTATCTTGCACTCTACACACTTACCAATAATGTTGTGATGTTGACAGCCTGTGAGGGACACTTGTTGTGTTGTAAGTTGTAATACTTGTATGACTATGTCTCCTATAGCTGGTCTGATAAGACTCTCTGCACAAGTGTCAAAACAACCCTGAATGTCTCTCAACAAGTATTGATTAATGTTTATTACAGTTTCTAGAGGTAAGATCATACTAACCTTAAGCAGTAACCGAAACACAAAAGCTGGTGATTGTCTGGATGACTACAAGAGGCGATGCTCTGTTTGATTGTTGTAGCTTGGTCTTTTCCAGTGAAAAAAACCCACTTTCTTCCAAACAGGGAGAACTCTCTGAATTGTAACATATCAACAATTTTCTGACACTGCTTCAGATCTACGTTCATATTGATCTAGTGATCCAGCTCATCAGTTCACATTTCAGACAAAACCAGTATGATCAAAGATCTGGTGAACGTAGACTTAAAGACCCATAACATGATTAATAGCAGACCACAGACCTGATGATGAGACCACAACAGTTTCAGTT